GTGTGCACACGCATGGCTGAAGCCGTGATGTCAGTGGTAATGATGAAGAACGGCAGCCACAGGTCCTGTGGGGGCAGAGGCTCAGGGAGGGTCCTCCCACCACAGACGCATTGCCAGACCAGGCCTGAAGGCCCGGGGGTGGGGGGCTGGGCGGGGAGGCACCTCAATCTGCCTGTCCTTGAAGACTCTGCTGATGCTGCTGTTGAAGCCGGCGCCCGAGAACATGGAAGTGATTGGGTAGGTCAGGTCAAGCACCGTTTTCACCATGGATGTTATGTCCTGGGGTGGGACACACACACATGCTGAGACCGCCTGTGCCCCCACAGGCCCTGCTAAGGGGAAGGGGTGCTGGTGGGGCACAGAGGGGGAGGGAGGGGCCACCATTGTCCTCTTGAGAGTCACACTGCAGGGAACTGCAGTGACGCATTTCAGGGACAGAGCACTGGCTATTTCTGGCATGGGGAGGGGTGGGGAAGGGGGCAGCTGCCTGCTACTCTAAAGGGGGACACAAGCACCTTTAATCCCACTCAAGGCTTCAGCCAGAGCTGTTCAGTTCTAAAAATGCACCAGAGCCTGAGGGCCTGGGGAGGGCTGCACCGCCCTCCCTCTGGGCTCCCTCTCTGCCTCCAAGCCTTCACCAGTGATGCGCTGACCTCCTCACTTCCTCTTAACCCAGAAACCACCTTCTCTCCCACCAGGTAAGCACTGGGCTGCCAATTGCAAGGCCAGAAGTTCAAGCCCACTAGCTGCTCCCAGGGAAACAGATGAGGCTGGCTGCCCCTTAATATAGCCTTGGAAGCACCAGGTGGGGTCGCATAGAATTGGGATGGATTTGGCGGCAGCAGCATCTTTTGGGGTTTTAATAAGGGTTCTTCTTCGCCTCACCAAACTCACTCTGCGGCCCTGTTGCCCCGTAGCTGCGCACCCCCCAGTGCCAGCCCATCCTCACCTCAGCCCACTGCTTGGCCCGGATGCGCATCCGGCTGTAGTTTCGCTCTTCCGAGTAGAGGGCGCCCATGAAGGCCCCGATAGATGTTCCTCCGACCATGTCCACAGGGATGCCAGCCTCTGTCAGGGCCCGGACAATGCCAACCTGGGAGCAACCCCTATGTGACCAGGACACCAGTTAGCCCTCAGGCTAGTGCACCCAACCACCCTGGCAGAGCAACTACCCACCCACCTGCCCACAGGAGCCTGGCATCTGCTGCTCCTTACGCCCCAGCCCTGCAGAGGACGGCAGAGACACTGCCTCAGGGGAGCCTGGGCCAAGGCTCCTAGGACACAACTAACCCTCTCTCGCAGTGCTACAGACCAAGGTGGTGCCAGGTGGCCGCCCTTGGGCCTCCTGCTGAGAAATGGCTGGTGACCCCATCCAAGCAAGTGTCGAGGCTGTGAGGCTGAATGGGTTTCTCAACAGGCAGCAGGAGGAGGATGGGGGAAGCAAGCATTCAGGGCCTCCCAGAAAGGGGCTTCGGCAAATCCCCTCCAAGCCTGTAGCCTAGGAGTGGGGGGCTGCACTAGATGAGCCTAGTTCCTAATGGTTCCAGAATCCACTAGATTGCAAGGGGGTGTGCACGGCCCATGCCTGGTTTAGCCCGTTGTCGGTAAAGACAAGACAGTTACTGCTGAGCGCCTCCAAGTATCACTGCCAGATTTCAAGTGCCAAGCACTCAACCAAAAGACATGAGTCTTATGAAGAGACCACAGGATCACACACTGAGAGAAAAAACAGCCAGCGGAAGTGGGCCCGAAGGGGACCCTGATCAGGGAGCTATCGGGTGTGGACTTGACAATGGGAACCCTCATAGCGTCGGGGTTGCGACTTGGGCTGCGATGTATAAAGTTGCCAGTTTGAAATCATCAGCCACTCTGTGGGAGAAAGAAAAAAGATGGGGCTCTCTGTTACGGTCTTAGAAGCCCACAGGGCAGTTCTGCAGAGTCCCATAGGGTCACTATGAGTTGGCATGTACTCAATGGCAGTGAGTTTTTTATGCTTAAAATGCCCAAGGCGTTAGAGAAAAGACTAAAAAAATTGGCAGAAAACGGAAAAGGACAAAGTCAAATCAAATGGGATGCTGCCTGTGACAAGAAATAGCTGGAAGGAAGGAGTCAGGGAATGTGAGGGATCTACCTGCGAACCAGTCACCGAGAGGGAGGACTCGGCTGCAGAAGAAGAGAATTGGTGAGCTGCAAACGGGCCAGAAGAAAATGCCCAGTCTCAACTATACGGTGACAAAAGGATGGACAATACGCAGACTCACATGGGCCCAGGCAAGACCTGAAGAGGTATTACCTGTGTGGGGTTTTTAGAACGGTGGGTAGGCATCAAGTCTCGGGCTCAAGGATAATAAAATAAAACCATTCTCACACTGTTAAAAATCCAGGACAAAGGGAAAAAGCCTCAGCCATCCAGATAAAGAGAGGTGCATTCCCTTCAAAGGTGCAACACAAAGAAGCTGATTCCGAATCTGGGGTTCCATGGCCAGCAAATGTGTCCCCCCACAAGGTAAGCACAGCAGAGCACCCAGGACCCAACAACAGACACACAACACTGCTACACTTCACTCTCACCCAGTCTGCCCAAAGAGTGTCCAAAGGCACGCTCTTCAGGTTGGAAAGGAAGCAAGAGACTACCGGAGGACACCTGCAGGCGGAGCAACGAGTGAAGAGCCACAGGAAGGTGTTATTAATGTGAGTGGTTACATAAAACTCCAGCAGCATTAGCAAAGGGGAGAGAGTAGAACAAATAAAGTGCCCTCTCAAAGCACACTCACGGCATGGAGTCCATGTCACTCACGGCGTCCCTATAAGGACAGGGTGGAATCGCCCGTGTGGGTTTCTGGGTCTGTACCTCTTTACAGGAGGAGAAAGCCCTGTCTTTCTCCCACAAGTGCCCTTAAGTCCTTGCATTATCTGGGAAGCAGGACAATCGATCATTTATATAAGCCTCCAATCAGCCCGGAGTGCATGTTGCAATCTCGAAGGTAATGACTGAGAAACATTAAAACACGATGTCCCTAAAGTGAACCACAGATATATAAACGATATGTACCTGGACTGGGGGCTCACACTTAATTCCAGCCCAATCTAAGAATAATTACTTTGTGCAACATGGCCCTACTTGACACCCTCACGAAAAGATCACTGAAGATTTGGGTGCGATAGCAAAGTGTGGTAAAAAAATAATCCCTCCCCCCAAACCAAACCAAACCAAACCAAAACCCAGGTGGTTCCTGGCTATCAGAAAAGCATTTAGGGTCTTAACCAAATTAAAACCACACTCACTGTCATCGAGTCGATGCCAACTGATACACGCCCTGGCGGTTATGTGTTGGGCTGCGATCTGCATGGTCAACAGTTTGAAACCTCCAGTCTACTGCACAGAAGAGACAGGGCTCTCTACTCCCTTAAAGAGTTATACTCAGAGGACAGCACTGAAGCTGCAGCTCAGGGAGAGGGACATGTCTGATCAGAGCACACAGGAGCAAATGAAGGGGGTGGAAGAGGGAGTGGAGCACATCTTAGCCCACCATGCCTTGAGGACGATATCCCTGCTCAGAGCAGCCAATGCACAGAGAGGACCATACAGCCAGCTCCACTACAAGACACGACATCCCTCACTGACCCCTAGCCCTACAGGGGACAACACTGGAGACACAGTGTGGGAATTGTGCCC